TCAGAGGCCTGGAGGACTTGTTTCACATTTGCTTCTTCTCTCCCCAGGCGTTTGCCCACATTCTTCCCTGAATTCTCACAATGGGATGGTGGCACTTCAGCAAAGGAATGGAAATCGTTGTCCCTATGTTCTAAGCAGGAGATTTGCACTATGGTGTGTTTCTGTACAGATCATACACAGCATCTATGGCAAATGATCCCAGTCATGACTGTCGCTGTAACATGTTTCCTGACCAGTTTTACTGAATCATAAAAATAACAAACAAGATTCCTGGGCATGGTTGCTAGTGCCAGGCATTCTGAAAAGCACTTACATGCAATATCTCATTTAATTCTCCTGTCATGCCTTTGAAAGAGCCCTGCAGATGCAGTGGTTAAGCACTTGCCTGCTAACCAAAAGGTCGGCAGTTCAAACTCACCAACCACTCTGTGGGAGAAAGATGTGGCAATCTGCTTCCATAAAAATTACAGCCTTGGAAAACCAACGGGGCAGTTCTACTCAGTCCAACAGGGTCGCTATGAGTAGAATCAACTCTGTGGCAATGGGTTTGTTTTGGATTTTTATCATGCCCTTGAGGGTGTCCCAACTTTGCATATGAAAAAAACAGGCCACAGCCCAGGGTCACCACTGTCCCATAAGGAGCAGTCAGAAGCTGAGCCCAAGTGGGCCTCGTTCCAAGCACAAGCTCTTCACCACCCCACTTGTGGCCTCATGAAATCTAGAGAGGTTTGATGGGCATCCTGCAGGCTCTGTCATCACAGCCACGACAAAGGGTGAGCTATGGTGACCAGCCCTTTTAATCCAGGCAAAGTTTTAATCCAGGAAGTTTTACTTTTGTAGTTGGGAAAATAATCTCTGCCTTTGGCTTTGCTTTGGCTAGGGAGAAGTAACCTTGAAGAAACTGTCACCATGGCTTCAATGATACCTCATTACCCAGGTGCAGGCACGCCTTCCCTTATATTATTTGTGTTTATGAAAAATAGTTCTCTGTAAATGGACTTGTTGAAATTTGAATGTAGTAGGGGGTTAGAGAGTTTAAAGCTAAGCTGCTGCTTCGTGATTTGCTCAGATACCACATGCATCTTTTAACTATTGTTTCCTCACTTTTCTTCTGCTATTAGAAAGAGTTCTTAACCTATTGACCCAGGTAGTTTCACGAGAGAAACAGAATCCCATGAGATGTATAGTGAAATTATTAGTGAAGATGCATAGTGTTTAGGAAATATCTAATTTATAATTAATATTTAATTGTAGTACCAGTAGAAATTATATGTAATTTGTACATATA